TTGAACCTGTGGCTATTGCAGTGTAACCCACAATAGGAGCTCAGTTGTTGCCAACTGAACTAGGGATGCCGATCCCTAAATTATTTATAAAAATGGAAATACTATATAATACATACATTAATTTTCTATTTTTAGTATAACTTATACACATGACTTTTGGTCTAAATTTTATACACTGCCTTTAAGCTTTGTTATTATAGTATGTTATCTCTAAATAAACTCTTTTTGAGATTATTTTAGATTAATTTTGCAAGCAGTTATTTAACCTTCTAAAGAATCAAAAAATTTTTTTTACTATATGTAATACCATTTTCTGAAAAAGTACTTTAAACTGTATAAATAATATCCAATTAAATTATCTGTAATAGCCAATCATAGGAAAGTCTGCCTATGAACTTATAGAAGAAAATTCAAATTTATTTTGATTTTTATTATTTATTAAAAACAATTAATATAATACTTAAAAAATTGCTATAATAAATATAATTTTATATTAATTAAAAATAGATGTATTTTGTTGATAAATTTTAAGTGAAACTAAAGTTTAAAAAAAGAAAATAATTATGTTGAGCAAAGAAAAAAGACAATGTAAATTATTCAATATGAAAAATTTTAATTACATATATTTTTTTATCCATTCATAAAATATAATTTCTTTTACAATTATAAAATTCAGAACTTATAATAGTTTACATTTCTAGTATATTTAAGTATTAGTTATATTCATTACATAAATGATTAACCTATTTTGATTCTATTAAAATTAAGCTATTTATTCCTAACTTAATATATAACTGGTCTATCCTCTCTGTTATTTACATGATTATGCAAATGATTTATATTAACTAGATATACATATATAACTATATATAAATTTTGATTGCCAGTAGGTATGTTATTTTGCATAATTACATAAATAATATCGATAAAAATAAAAATAAAAATTGACTTAAAAGCTAAAATATGTATAGTACAGTACGCCATTTTTTATTATAAATCAATCGAACTAATTATAACTAATGTGTAATAAAATTGGATATCTCAATATTTTTCACCCACGTTACTTTTTTTTACTGAAATATTAAATAAAGTTTGCAGTGCATCAAAAAAAAAAGCAAATCATGTTTATGTGCCAATTTTTTCAATGTTTTCTTAATTACATACTTTTTCTTGCTCCACTTCATTGGTAAATTTTACGACTGATTTAAAAGGCATATTAATTATACTAAGCTTTTTCTCAGCCAAAAGAATGTGATTTAATCCTTCGATTAATTCAGCGATATTTTTGCTAAAACGTAATCCAGTTTAAACAGCTTTTTGTAAGCCTTTCCTCGTTGAGTTGGAGAAAATAATAACCAGGAATGTTTTTAAATTTCAATATTTCATTTTCTCCAATGTTAAAAAAATCTCTTAAAAGATAATCAACGCCTTTAAACCTTAAATCATCATTGGTTGAGATGCCGGTTAAGATGCCGGTTGATGAGTTGCTGTTCCCAATGCCTATTCTGGTGGTGCTGTTATCATTGTTCCCAATGTTAGTGGTACTTTCAATGTTCCCAGTATTAGTAGTGCTTTTGATGTTTCTGGTGCTGACGGTTGTGGTACTGGTATTGTGATACTGGTGGTGCTCCCGGTTTAGATGTCAGTTCGTGATTCATTATTCTAGAACAAGATAAAAAATATAGTACGTATATACAGTAAATGAAAATGTAAATTACACCAATGAAAATTTAATTGTGTTATCTGAATCTTATAAATAGTATGGTTATTCCTTCCGTATTCTTTTGACGGAAAAAATTCAATTGAAATTGTTTTAATTTCGCCAGGATTATCATTATATTCGAATTCAAAGGTTTGTTCTTGAACACGTTGAATAAATAATCCAGCATCATTTTCGGTCTTGAAATGTATATGTCCGTAAGTTTTGCTCTTGCATTTTAGTACAGTCAACCCTCTCTAAATGCACCCCTTCAGAATCATAGTGAAAATTTTAAAAAATGTGTATTTAAAGAGGGTATGCATTTAAAGAGAAAATTTTTATATGAATTCTATATGCTTGGGACTGAACAAAAGCATGTATTTAGAGAGAAAATATATAGTGTGTGCATTTAGAGAGAGTGCATTTAAAGAGGGTTGACTGTATATGATAATTTTCCATTTGGAAAATATCTGATAAAAGGTTTTTAATTTTGTTACTACTGACACCGTTCAAATGTACTCCACTGATAAAAACAGATTGTTGGACTGAACAGCAAAAAGTCTTTTGTTTTTTTGGTTCTTAAAAATGAAAGTGTAAGTGTAAGAACATGATGTATATGTGAATGTGAACGTGAAACTTGTGTGAACGCGTGAATGTGAATGTAAATGTAAATGTGATATGTGACATGTGAGTATGAACACGTGAATGTGAATATGAAACGTAATGTGTGAACTATGAATGTCATTTCTACGACTGCTATGAAGGGAAGTACATAACCGATTCTTCCTTCAGAATCGGTAGACCTTCATAGACTTTCAAGGTTTCCACAAATACGTTAACGTTAGCATTGACGTGAATGTGAACGTGAACGTGAACATGTAAAATATTCTTCACTTACTTGGTGCTGTTTGTGAATCCATTTGTGCCATTTGTTTAAGACGTTTGAAAAAGAGAATTTTTTATTAGAAAGATGAAAAAGATTTCTACTTTTATTTATAAGAGTCAAGGGGAAGCTTATTATGACGAAATACAGTCAGACCCCTATACAGTCACACTCTATATAGTCACACCTTTGTATAAGAACCTATTTTTCTGAAACGAACTTTAAACTTATTAATTTACCTCTATATAGTCACAAATTAGTTATAGTCACTATCACCAC